AAGGGTTTCGTTGTCGATGAATTATGTCGCTAAAAGTGTTCCGTCTAGAAGTAGAGGCATAAAGAGAGACCATCTAACACATGTAAAAAGGGATGTTTATGTAAACCCTATTTATAAACATAGTTATAATTAGAAATAAGGGTCTGAATCTGAAGCATATTTGCAAAAGAGACATGGTAACATGAAACATGGTGTTTAAGATTAAGATTAAGATTAAGATTAAGATTAAGATTAAGATTAAGATTAAGATTAAGATTAAGATTAAGATGTGGAGGCATAGAAACTCACTCCAATTTCCCAAACCAAACCAAAAAGGGGTTTAAAAAAGGAAAAGAGATTAGGTTAAAAGAAAGACAGAGAACTGACAAAGGCAGTGAATTTTTGGAAATGTGAGCGGTCGTCTACTTGTGGGCTGACTTTTCCTGCCAAATTTCTTAATCATAATCTAATCATATTTTCCCCTTTTAAGTTTGTTTACCATTTAATCTTTGGATTGTAGCTCTTGATCTTTCGTGTTCATAGAATATTCTCTCCTTCCCCAAAGCCTTCAACTTTCAAGATCTATTTGATTCCTTTTTCTTTTTCTTTTTCTTTTCTGTACAAATTTCTTATATTATATCAAATGCATCACTTTTATACAAAATATATAGCCACTAGAGATGATGTTAGTTGTAATTAACTTCATGAACATATATCATTTTCCTGTAAATAACATATATATATATATATATATATAGCCACAATAAAAAATTGTAAAGATTGATTTTCAGTGAGAGATGATGACCATGAAATACGAGTTTAGGTCTACGATAATATTAATTGATGTTAATGAAAGGTAATTAATTTTAAATGAAATGCTAAAAATATATTAATTAATGTTTGAGAAATGATATGAAAATTGTGTTGTTGTCAATTAGCAAGAAACCGTATCCACAGTTTGAGAACTTTGAAGCATTTGGGAGAAAGTAAAAGGTTGTCACCAAGGGTATGTTTGTTTCTTTGTTTGTTTGTTTGTGGTATGAAAGATTTAGCCACCTCCATGGTCAATGCTATTGCTAACAACTACTATTTCATACTTCCCAAGAATGGATGGGTATTTTATATATATATATATATATATATATATATATATATATATATATATATATATATGGGAACAATCAAATGCAAACCACTTAATTTGTTCAAACCGTGCAAACCTCATTCAACCAATCATAATTTTTCATTTTGTTCTTTTTTTTGTAATTATGGGAGATTGATTAATCATTTTTATTGTGGAGGATGTTAATCATGGATATTATCATCTTCATTATTTTAATTTTAGAAAAATACATGAAACAGTTTCACTAAAATTTCATTAAGTATTATATGAAACAATTTCATAACTATATGTGAAACAATTTCACAAGATTAAATAATTTTGTGAAAAAAATTTCATAAGATTAAATAATGAAATCGACAGATGAGTGTGGTTTGCATTTGATCGCTCCTCTGTGTGTGTGTGTAGACTTGGGATCATGTGAGACCAAGGGTTTTTCGTGTGACTCGTAAGACCAATTCTCAACCTTTGGATTAGATCTACAATCTGAACATTCATAATCACAAAATTGCCACAAGACTTCTCAATAATCACAAAAACCCTTGGTCTTACGTGAATCCAACACTGTATATGTATATGTATATGTATATGTATATGTATATGTATATGTATATGTATATGTATATGTATATGTATATGTATATGTATATGTATATGTATATGTGTTGTGTCTTCAAACTATTTCAAAGCTGCATGTGAAGTTTTGACTAATTAGTCCTATTCTTTGGAGGCTATATTTGGTTGTGTTTGTGCTCTCAAGAATTAGGAATATGGAATAATTGTGTTAGAGCATGCATGGATACCATGATGGTATTAAACTATAACTAGCACACAAAGGTTAAGGGACAACAAGTATATATTCTTTTTCTCATGCGAGTTGATGAGTAGGAAACATGGGTTCATTTTTTTGTTTTCTTTAAGATTCTTAGTTTTCAATCGTATCTTCGGAATGTTATTTGAAATTTGAATAATCTACATATGAAAACAAGGGGAGGTGAAGGTTGATGTATTCGAAATTAGAATTAGTGTTCGACATATTAAATTTTAGTTAAGGAAAAAAATGCAAGTTTTGTTTTCGTTGATTATGCATGCTCATATGCAATATTGAGAGGTGACGGAAGAAAAGTATTTCATATATATAGGGGCATAATCAAATGAGAACTACTTAGTTTGTGATAAACATCCTCCAATTTCAACCACAAATCAATAGATAAATTAGAAAATGTATAATTTTGGTAATTATGATTTAAATTTTTAATGGAATGACATTTTAGGTATTTTCTCTCCTCCTTCCTCCCTCCTCTCTTCTCTCTCCGTTCTCTGGCCTCCGGCCACCGTCCTCTGATGATACCACAGTGGTATCACAATGCATCTTATATGTGTTTGGGTATCACACTGAGGTCGTTTGTATGGTCGATCGAAGATGTAAGACAGTGGTATCACAATGCATCTTATATGTGTTTGGGTATCA